AGTCTCTCCTCGACTTGCTCGCGCAACTTTTGCCCAAAGACAGAGGTACTAGCCTCTGGAGTCAAATATACCGTATAAAACAATCAATATGATGCTTTTGGAATGAGCAAACTTAGCATACGCAAGAGTCCGGTAACAGAGCTTCCTAGAACTAACCCGAGTAGCAGTCAATGCGTGAAGCAATCGAGCATTTGTTTGCCAGGTAACGAGCCATTCTGCCCTTGTTCTTGGTTGAAGCACGGCCAATAAAAGAGGAGTGGAATATAAGCCCATACTTCGGTGTGTTCCCTCGAGTTTTCAGTGCTCTGGTGGACAAAGGAGAAGTGTAAGAGACATCTTCCTAGTAGCAAAATTTACTCAAATACGACCATTTTATAACCACAAATTACAGAGTTAACTCAAATTTACTGAAACAGTGGGAAACCATAAGATGTTTTAAGAATTTACCAACCTGAATAGGGCCTTCTCAGCACCAAGAATTTGAAGGGTGGAGGCAGCACACTTAGCAAGGTTTGAAAGACTGCCAGCATGAGAGATTAGGCGAGCTCCAACTACTTCACCAATCAACGATGTCAGGTTGGGTGCAATATCATTCATCTTAGTCACAAGATATTCATAAAGGTTTTTACGATACTCGGACAGATTCATAACCCTTTGGGCAAATTGCTGGACATTGATCAAATCAACTGGTGACAGATCCTGGCCTGAAAACAAACAAGAGAAAACAAAACATAAGAGCATTTACTACAATCAGCATAGTCCAACTAAATTGACAGCATCATATCCCATTACCCATTGAAGCCTTTGCTGCTTCAACAATTTCTTTAGCCTTGTCCTCGTCACCAACTATATCAGCCAAAGCCGGAATATCTTTTTCCGCCAAATCAGATTTGTTCACGATAAACTTAGCAAGCTTGGCATATAGGTAATTGTCATTCACAATCTTGACAAGCTCAGGGAAGTGCCATGAGAACCATTCCCTGCAGCGTTTTATTGAGAAAGCAATAAATAATCATACTAAGGGCATATTGGCATATTCATGTTCTCGGAGTTTCTTACCAGAGCAGACTGTATAAATACGGCCTATTACGCCTCTCAGAAAGTTAACAATAAACAGTTATAGGAGAACAAGGAACAGACCTGACTCTCATGGAGAAGGAATTGATGTCCTTGTCAAGTGTATCCAACAGAAAGATTGCCTGGATCACCATGTTGTCAACACGATTCACATTGAACTTCACCTTGGCCCTGCTGTAGCTATGCCCAAGGCCAAGTTGGGCCTTCTCCAAGTCAGAATCCTACAATCACCATCGGAAACACAAATTAAGCAACAGGCATCCAACTTCACAACAAATTTAGATATATGATACACTATGCATAAGCCCAGCAGGCAAAGCTTCGCAAGCATATTCACACAATTTTGAGACAATCAACATCCGAAAACCAAATTACACACCACCCATCCAGCTTTACCAAAAAAGAAGGCCTATGATATGCTAAACACAAATCGAGCAGGCAAAGCTTCACAATCATATTCACGCAACTTTGAGCCACACGGGAAACTAACAATGCAGAATCTGAACCTCTGAACATAGGATGGGGAAAAGGCGATACCTTGAGCTCGTTGATGAAACGATCGAAGTGGAGGCGGACACCGCGGAGCAGCTCCTGGACGAACTCATTGCTCTGGCAGGGGATGCCGGTGACCTCGGAGATGTGGGAGCCGACCTTGGGCTCGACGACGCCGAGGCTGTATTTGGCTTTCTTCCCCTCCTTAGGCTTCGGCAGGTTCAGCTCCAGGAAGCTCCTCAGTTCATCGGTCATGATCCCTGACCAAAGGAAAGGCCAAAGCCCGGGTCAAAACAAAAGCATCTCGCAGCGAGGCTGCGTGTTTAGGTGGGGAGGAGAGAACCTTCGGAGATAGCGTTGCACTGGTTGAGCGCGTCGACGGCAGAGGAGAAAGGGTTGAAGGCGGTGAGCTTGACGGCCTTGCCGAAGCGGTCGAGGTCCAGCACAGAGGAGCGCACGGCCTCCACGCTCTGCCCGATCTCATCGATGCCGTATGCGTGGAATAGGCCGTAGCCGGAGGCCGACTCGAACAGCAGGTACAGCGTCATCTCGCCGGCGGATGGCGGCGGCAGCTGCTGGTTGGAGCCTTGGAGGCCGAGGGGCGGCGGAGGGGTTAGGGTTTTAGGAGGACACAAGAGTGATGGGGGGTTGGCGCGGGGCGGAGGGGAGAAGATTTATGGGCTCAGGCTGGGCTCTTGTGGGCCGTCGGATTTACCTTTTTTTTCTTCACACCCTCCTTTAATTTCTTATTTGTATATATATCGATTCAGGGATTAGTTTAGTATAAATTGGCGTCTTGGCCAATGAAGTATCACTCTCTTTTTGACCTCTACTGTACACATAACACAAACGACTTCATAAACGGCATAATAGGCATCTTCTTATATCGAACAAAAAACTTTTGAAATCCATGTCCTCATGCTGGCTTGTACTGCTATATATGAAGTTTTCGTCAAGGTTACCACCATATGGTGCCATGAGAAAATCCAACTCGCATGACCAACACCACACTATTGGCCCACAAATCACATCGAGGAGGCAGCAAGAGCAAGATGTTGCCACTCCTCTTCTTCTCAGACCGAATGGAGCTCTAGCATCGGATAACAACATATAGATACTCAAACGGCGACAGGGAGTTGTCTTCAATGTTAGCGCATGACACCCCCTGCTGTTATTATATATGAGAGCTCGAACAACTACAACATACTCAGTTTTAATGGCTGGAACAATAGCTCTCGCATTGTTGGCATCTTGAGATTCGGAGAAGTAATCCATGGGTGTGGGTTCGGTGCCCAAGCAGCTCTTCCTGGCCATCGTTTTTCAATCACCTTGTGGCTGAGATTGCGAACCAAATAAGCCTACATCTCTAACAATGATGTCTTGGTGAAGATGATCACCAACCCGCAACATGCTACTACAGAGAACTGGATTCTTAAACCTCTGTCGATAGATTTTGCTAATAACAACACAAAAGTATGTCATTGAATTTACAAGATCCGTAGAACTCAGAATCTCATGGCACATTCTCTTCCTAGGCCAGATCTTCTAGTTGCAAATTACCTTACGCCTACTATCTTTGTCCCAAAAGGATGTAATTAATTCTCACTTCTCAAAAAAGTCAAATAGTTTTAGATTAACCAAATCTATTAAAAAATTAATATTTATAATATCGAATAAGTACCATTATATTGTATTAATCATGTAATATATTTTTATAGTGGATCTATGTTGAGTTATGAATATTAGTAATGTTTTTATACATCTAGTCAAACTTCAAAGAATTTTCACCCAATTCAAACCTAGGATTGCATTTTTTCGGGACAGATGTAGTAATATTAATTAATAATCAAGTTGCTTAGTAGTAGCAGCAGCAACAACAGTAGCCGTAGTAGTATTATAGTAATAATAAAAAAGGAAAAACTTAGGTATATTAAATGAGATGTTTACCTATACGGCCCTCAAAATAACATGTCTTCCTTCCATGACTTGCTTTTTTTCGAACTTACATGTAAGGCCCGAAAAAAAAAATGTGTTACCTATGTGGCCTTCTGTCCGTTTCTAGCACTTAACGATGTCAAGTCAAAGGTAAAATAACCATTTTACGCCTGTCGAACAAAATAAATTATAGAGTTTAGTTTCTCTGTTTTAGATTTGAAGTAATATTGTACAAATAAGGTCACATAATATTACATAATAGGACACATAATCAGATACACGAATACATTGCAATACTACTCCACTAAACTCTACAATTTATTTTTTCGGTAGCAGTAAAATGGTTATTTTACCCTTTGACTTAACACCGTTAAGAGCATCTCCAAGAGTTTGCTATCTCAACTTGGTATCCATATAATTTTGGCAAAACAAGAAAAAATAGTCTCCAACAGTTTGGCAAAACAACTTGGCATCAATAGCAACTTGGCAAATCTTCTCTCCGCGCGCGCAAATATACGCGCGCGTATCGGGGCTCTTCGTTTCTTAGCAGGGCTCTTCGTTCGCTTAGCGGGGCTCTTCGTTCGCTTAGCGGGCCTCTTCGTTTTGTTAATGGTTTTTTTTATTTTACCAAGTCAAAAATGCCAAACTCTTGAAGATTGATTGTTTTTTTACTTGGCATATAATTTTGGGGTTGACAAATCACAAGATTTGCCAAGTAAAATTTGACAAACTCTCGGAGATACTCTAAGTGCTAGAAAAAGGACCGAAGGACTTACAGGTAAGTTCGGAAAAAAAACGGACCACAGTAGGAAGACGCATTATTTTGATGGCTTAAATATCTCATGTTAAATCTACTTGTCCGTTAGAGCATCTCCAAGAGTTTGTCAAATTTTACTTGGCAAATCTTGTGATTTGCCAACTCCCAAAATTATATGCCAAGTAAAAAAACAATCCATCTCCAAGAGTTTGGTATTTTTAACTTGGTAAAATAAAAAAACCTGTTAACAAAACGAAGAGCCCCGCTAAGCGAACGAAGAGCCCCGGATGCCAAGCCGTATACGCGCGCGTATATTTGCGCGCGCGGAGGGAAGATTTGCTAAGTTGCTATTGATGTCAAGTTGTTTTGCCAAACTGTTGGAGACTATTTTTTCTTATTTTGCTAAAATTATATGGATGCCAAGTTTAGATAACAAACTCTTGGAGATGCTCTTAAGGACTTATTACCCTAAGTCCCTAAGACGCCGTCGCATGAGTAGTGGGCCAAAAATTTGCGGACCCTTACATTCGGCAAAGCCCAGCCCACAAAAGGCTCACATGCCTGACGCGCACGTGCGAGTCACGCCGCCCGCTCCACCGCTCCCATCCGTCTCCTCTCAAAACCCTAGGTTGCCAACATCGTTGCCTCCTCTCTCCCACCGCCTCCTTCGACTCTTCACCCTCTCCCCTCCTCTCCCTCGCGAACTCACGAGATTACCAAGTAGACGAGCGAGAAGGAGATGGCGAAGAAGAAGGAGAAGGCGGTGAACGTGTCAGGCAAGCCGCGGCACTCGAACGACGTCAACCGCCCCAATGACAAGAAGGGCGCGGGCGGCGGCGCCGGCGGCGGGAGCCGGTCCGCGGCCACCGTGCGGCGGCTCAAGATGTACAAGACGCGGCCCAAGAGGGACCGCTCCGGGAAGGTGCTCAGGAACGACTTCCAGTCTAAAGAGCTCCCCAACACCCGCATCGAGCCCGACCGCCGGTGGTTTGGTGAGTCCGATCGCCACCGCCTAGCTTCGTGTCTAATTGTATTGTTCAAACGGCTTTATTCGGATAAGATACGCTTAGTCGGTGCTTCAATTGTGCGATTGAATGCTTCACTGTGGCTCCAGGATTGATTGCTGCTATGTGGCAATAGTTATCTACTTGGATGGTTCCACCGCTTAAATTTCATTGACGGATGCTGATTGCTTGTACCTTTCTCGTGTTGATCCAGCTCTTGGTATTTGCAGGCAATACTCGCGTTGTGGGCCAGCCACAGCTTGAAATGTTTCGGGAGGAACTCCAGAGTCGGCTTTCCGACAACTTCAGTGTCATCCTGAAAGAACGGAAGCTGCCACTATCGCTCCTGCAAGATCATCAAAAGGTTCTACTCTTGTGTCTTGATTATCATCTGCCATTGTGGTCATCACCCTGTTGAAAATATAAGGACGGGGGCAAGTGTAACATTGCGACCTTTTTAGTTTGAAGCAACTACTGTCAATGTTGTTCCCCTGTTTAGCTGGTTAAGTGGTGTGTTGACTGTTGAGTTGGCTGGATATTAATACTTTTTATCCCACCACTGTATGGTATGCAAAAAGTTATTCTTATGTGTATTTGCTTGTTTTGATGCAGCAAGCGAGGGCACATCTTCTTGATGTTGAACCTTTTGAACATGCTTTTGGGCCAAAGGGCAAGAGGAAACGCCCGAAACTAACTGCTCTTGACTATGAATCTTTGCTGAAGAGAGCTGATGATTCCCAAGGTGAGTCATGGGCATTGATAGTTATTACACTTTGATAAACTATCCAAAGTAGTGGATGCCATTTTAGAAGACAGCAATTTGATCGGTTCTATTGATCTTTTAAAGTCAACTCCACAATTGTTGGTTTAAAATGTCTTGAATCATTGATGTTCATGTTCTAGTAGAACTTGCAATTTGAAGCCCATTGGATGGTTAAACTTTAAAATGGTCATCTGGCACCTCCTTGTTTGGTGTACTGCTGTTTTATTTTCGTGAACATGTATGTTGTTTTATCTTCTTCAGATGTATTTGAGCAAAAGTATGCTTCATCAAAGTTGCCAAGGGAGGAAGAAGAAGACGGCTTACGGGATCTAGTGAGGCATACAATGTTTGAGAAGGGACAGAGCAAAAGAATCTGGGGTGAACTATACAAAGTTATTGACTCTTCGGACGTTGTTGTGCAGGTTAGCGCCAGTGCGCCACAACTCTTTTGTCCATGTGAAGATTTCTCTGTGAACTCAACCAATGGTATGCTTAATCTTTATAGATTTTATTCTGCAGGTGTTGGATGCTAGGGATCCAATGGGCACTCGATGCTACCATCTAGAGAAACATCTAAAAGAGAATTGCAAACACAAACACTTGGTTTTCTTACTAAATAAGGTATCAACTACTCTGCAGCATATTCCTGTACAAAATCTTAATCACCTTCCTGTTGTTATGTCTAGTGGCGTATTGATTGTTTGTTTCATTTTTCGTTTAGTGTGATCTAATTCCTGCTTGGGCTACAAAAGGATGGTTAAGGACCCTTTCGAAGGACTATCCCACCTTAGCATTCCATGCAAGCATCAACAAGTCTTTTGGCAAAGTAAGTTTGCTTTTGCATCATCTTTTTCGGTGTATCATCTCATATCTCTTCTATCTGATTAAGCCCTAACCTTTTTGAAAATGTACAGGGATCTCTTCTGTCAGTATTGAGGCAGTTTGCTCGTTTGAAGAATGACAAACAAGCTATTTCTGTCGGGTTTGTTGGGTACCCCAATGTTGGAAAGTCATCAGTTATTAACACACTACGGTCAAAGAGTGTAATTCTCTCATCGTCATGCTTTAAAGGTAGCACTTTCTAATTGTCTTTCAGGTTATTCTGATGATTAGGTTATGCCTTCAGGTTTGCAAGGTTGCTCCAATTCCTGGAGAGACAAAAGTGTGGCAGTACATCACTCTCACTAAAAAGATATTTTTGATTGATTGTCCTGGTGTTGTATATCAGAATAATGATTCAGAAACTGATATAGTTCTGAAGGGTGTGGTATGTATCTTCTTCAGCTGTGCATTTTGCATATGTTTTTTTTTTTACCTGGGATTGGCAAAAATAATTATTTCAAGCATGTAGTGCCCCCTCCCTTCCCCAGTTGCTATTGCCCCTTGAACAAATATCAGGAAGTATTTTAGTTCAACATGAGGTTTATTCCTGGGACACGTGTAAAACAATGTTTAGCTCATACATTTTTCTATGGGGAGTTGATGACGTGTCCTGTTCCATATTAAATATATTTTATGCAACTACTCAACTATCTTAGAAACAATATTTTTCTTAGTCGTTCCTTTATCAATACATGTATGCTTTCTAATTTATGTACTTGTCACAAGGTGCGAGTGACAAATTTGGAGGATGCTGCTGAGCACATTGGTGAAGTTCTTAGGCGTGTTAAAAAGGAGCATCTTCAAAGAGCGTACAAAATTCAAGAATGGTATGTCATTTAGAACAACGTTATTGTTTAGTATTACTATGATTGCACCTTTCATATTGTTAGGAATACATCAATCAATTGTTTATATAAAGTGTGCTCCAAGATGAATAAATATATTTGTTTTCAGCATGCTCCTATGATGGCATGATCTGATTCTGGATTTATCTTTTCTCTGCAGGTCTGATGATAACGATTTTCTTGTCCAGCTGTGCAGGACTACTGGAAAACTTCTCAAGGTATTACATGTGTTCTTAATATCTGATGATATCTTTTGCTATATTTCTACCTAGTATTTCTCCCAAGCTAAGAAAAATGGATATTTAACTAGATTATTACAAAATTCTATATTACTCCTGTGTTAGAAAGACACGGTATGATTTATTGTTCATTCATGTGGTAATGGTATTCTTTCCCATAATATAATAATTACACTTTTGGTTCTCAGGGTGGGGAGCCTGATCTGACAACAGCAGCCAAGATGGTACTTCATGACTGGCAGAGGGGTAAAATTCCCTTTTTTGTACCCCCTCCGCAGCAAAGTGAGGATGGTGCATCTGAAAGTGCTGAACCTGTTGGGAAAACCGAAGAGGACGGAGTAAGCAGCGACAGGACTGCCGCTGCCATGAAAGCCATTGCAGGAATAATTTCATCACAGCGGAACATGAATGTACCCTACCACAAGGAACACAATGCAGACAACGAAGACATTGAGAGTGCAGATAACGAAGACATTGAGAGTGCAGACAATGACGAGCATGCAGAGCAATCTGAGTGATCTTTTGGTACAGATGTGGATTAGAGCTGATATGTCAAGGCTAATGAGTTTGTCAGCCCAGGTATTGTGTAGCTACTTAACCATATCACTGGTGTGCCAGAAAAAAAAAGTTTCATGTTGATTTGCGGAGCAACTGGGTTCTTTTTTTTGTAACTGTCGTACCTGAATCTTTGTAATAGGGCAAGTAGTGCAGTTTTGCTAGGTACCTGGTTGTATCAGGATGTTTATCTGTACTGTCTACTACAAATACAGTTACAACAATTTTAGTTAAATCAAGTCAAGTTGTCCCTAATTTTTGTAACGCTGCACACTGCAATTTTGCGGCTTCATGAATTCCTACATACCTTACATATGTCACTCCTATCCTATGAATCCTATCTTTTCGATTGTGCCACGTAGTATAAGCTAAAAGTGACCCTAGCGATAGTATAAGCTAAAAGTGACCGTAGAGATTTAGAGGTGTCTTTATTGAACAACAATTGTTTGTCCTAATAAGGGATGAATAATTGTTTCGCGTTCATATTTTATTTGTTACTGAAAAATGACTGTCAATGGAACTAACATGTTTGCCAATAAGATGATTTAGTAAGTCTTATTATGGATGTAATACAAGAGAAGCCAATAAAGCGGAGACAGTCAGACAGAGATTGGATTGAACTGGAAAAATCACTGAAGAATGTACACAAGATTGGATTGAATTGGAAAAAATTTGGTAGCAAACTAAACACACATGCCATAATTTTGCTTGAGACATAGCAATTTTTTTATCTATTTTTTATCAACTTTTGCTTGACAAATTTTGGCATGGGAAATTTTGGTAGCAAACTAAACACACATGCCATAATTTTCTATTTAGATCATTGATATGTTATTATACTCTATCTTACTTGTCTGATTCACCTGACTTACAAATCTCAATTTAAAACACCAAGCGAATTTGAGTTCATTCATGATGCTACTATAAACATTACAATAACATGATGAAGGCTCTAAAGGAGAACAATCATTCATGGCCCTCAGCTAATGCTAGAGGTATGGTTCTTTCTTTCCCAATTCCCTTCCATCCCTTGTAGATCTGTACCTGTACTATAGAAATAAGAATGTCGTGGTTCTGTTTGGCTCTAACTGTTTGCAACATTAAAGAATGCGGAGAAGTTGGTGTGTTGCGCGAACACGAACGTTGAACAACTATGGAGAAGGTGAAAGTATTTAGGGCATTCTTGAGATGAGGCAACCATGGATTCACGCAGTGGCAGAGAAGCTCTCCAGATAGAGATGTCAATGGCCCCCCGATCCCTGATTCTCCATGAGGAATTCCCTAGGGACAGGGATGGGGTCAATTTATGCCCCACGGGAATGAAATGGGGGAGAAAAGCCCCCGTAAGGTTTCACAGAGACAAGGATGAAAAAATGATCCTGGTGATGCTCGGGGGTCAGGGATGGCTCCCCATTGGGGTCGAAATCTAACCCCCAACACAATCAAACTATGCCAAACTTAAAAAAGATGCAAGAACTAACTTAAAATTTGTAAGTCAACTTTTCCTATCGACAAATCTCTGGCTGTGCTGGTTTCCTATAAGAATTGACAATAGAAACCAAAAATCCACCGGAGCTAGTGGAAGACAATAAAAAGTAACACTGTAATGTTGACTCTTAAGATGACTAATGGACAATCAAGATCAATCAGCTTCAAAATTAGTCAAAATTGGCTATGATTATATTAACATATCTCTAATTTTGGTTTGACCATAGCAATGCACAGACACAGATCCATTTTATCAAAAATTATATACTATCTCCGTCCCAAATTATAAGTCGCTCAAACTTTCTTGTCGAGTCAAAGCATCTTGAGTTTGACTAAAATTATAGAGAAAATTACAAAGATTTATGACATCAAATAGATATATTATAAAAATATAATTAATAAAGAATCTAATAATACTTATTTGGTATTATAAAAGTCAATATTTTATTTTATTTTATTATATAAATTTGGTTAAATTTAAGATGCTTGGACTAAAAAAAAGGTAATATAATGACTACGAACCCTAACTCGTATATAACAAAGAAGAGAAGAAACACAAAGGCCGTGCTCCAAAATAATCTAGAACGGAGGGAGTAATAACAAACTCGTATAGCTTGCATCCGTTTCCTGATAAGTTTGAAAATCACCGATGCAAAGAATTCGTCTTTGCCCAGAAGGGACAAAAAGAAGAGAAGAAAACAAAGGCCGTGCTCCAAAATCCAAGAGCTGTCTAGTGGTCGCACGTACGTCGAGCGGAGCGGAAAACCCCCAGTCCCCTTCCGGTTTCGCTTTCCCTGCTCCCCTCTCTTCTCCTCTCTCCCCTCCGCGGCCAAGCCAAAGCCATGCCTCGTTCTACTACTTCCCCCCCACCACGTCACAACAGGGCCTCCACACCACCCCCACCGCCTCCCTCCACCTCCGCCTCCTTCCCCATCCCCTTCCGCTTCCGCCCACGAACCCTAACCCTAATCCCGTCGCCGCCGACGCCGCGGCACCGACCCGGCCGACGCCCGCACCGCGCCTTCGGCGCCATATTCGGCCCCTGCGTTCTCCCTCCCCGGCTCCCCACCTCGCGCGGCGAGCCGGGGCGCTAGGGTTTTCTACATGGATCCGCGCCGCGCGCCTCCGCGGGGCGGGGGCGCCAACGGCGGCGGCGGGCTCTCTTACTCCACGCTGTTCAACCTCGAGGTAGCCGTTATTCTTTCTGTTTAGTTCTGCTCTCTCTCGCGTGAAGAGGGTTTCTCTGCGCGCTAGGGGCTGTGTTGGATTGGGCGCTGCGTGGTGGATGCAATTGTTGAGTTACCGAGCTCGTTATTGCTCGGTTTTGGGTTAATTCTTTTCCCCGGGGGTACATACTTTGTGCCCTTCTTTTTTTTGGTGCAATCTGGTGGCCATTTTGGGTTGGGGTCCCCTTTTGAGTTCGGTTGTTAGTGGTTGCCTAGTATTTGATTAATGTAGGTTGTCTAGTGGTGCTGCTCTATTGTGTATGATGGCCGATACTCGTTACTCAACGCTACTGTTTAATTGGTTGCTGCATTGTGTTTTGCCAGGCCTAAGTTACTGGGTTCCCTTATTGCACTATTCTAGTCTAAGTATGATTCTTAGTGTGTTGAAAAGGTGTTCTTATTGTCTTGTTTAACTTATATCAGCTGTGCTGTTTCTGCGTAATCATTTTTGTCAAAATTTATAGTATTTCATGCATGACCGCGAATTTGTTTTGGCACAATTGCTTGAATAAGTTGTTGGTCTTAATGTAGTTATTCAATGTTTTGAGTTACATAGATCGCTTATTATTTGCTGGGATCTATCTAGGCTCTTATGTTGTGCATTGTGTGGTTGTGGTCTGCTTAGTTTGCAGTGTGTCAATTGTCACTATTGCTATTGTTGTATTCTCTAAACTCACACAGACTAGTTTTGCTTGGTGTTTCATTCATCTAAGCATGCGCACTCATGCATGGTAAACAGTTCCTTGTCATGCTATATTTTACATAGTTTTCATCAGCAAAATGCATAGTTGTGTTTTGATTTTATGCAGTTTGCTAATCTTATGATTTGTGCCTGCTAAGGGAAATTTCGGTTGATCATGCCAGTGCTGTTTATTTGTTTGCATCTTTGAGCTATTGGTCCATCATTTTATTACTCGTGTAGTTTTAATTGTTGCTTATCTATCAATTTGGACTGTGTAGGATCTTTAAACCTTGTAGTCTCAGGTAGTGTAGAAATGGGTAGAGTAACATTCATGTTCTCTTGTTTTTTGAACTTTGTGAAGAAGATAAGTTTATCTACTCTTATGTCTCTCTGCCTTCTTATTCCTATTGGTATGCCATTCTGATGATGGGGGGTACTGGAAATACTGTTGCAGCCTTTGCTGAACTTCAGGGTTCCTGTACCAGAAGATCTTGCCCGCTATGGTAATAGCAGCTCAAATGGGAGTCCAAGCAGTGAAGGTCGGCCACCTTTATCTCTTTGACTTTTATTCTGACGTTTTCTGTTTAAGAGTTATCTTTTGAACAGTAGTTTGTTTTCAAAACCCATCTTGCAGCTTGAGCAACTCTGTTACCGTTTGTTATGTTTCTATATGAATCATTTGTCTTATTCAGCTTCTCCTTTTTAGGTCAAGGATCCTTGTTGGATCAGTACAATGGTGTAAATGATGCTTCCCATGGCCTGCATCGGAAGCGAAAAAGGCATCTTGATGGTGCCAGCGATGATGATGAGGCAGATGCCTATAGTAACAAAATAACAGAGGAGCACTACCGTGCTATGCTCAGTGAACATGTCCAGAAGTACAGGAGGTCAAAGTTCAAGGAGGGTGCTTTTAGTTCTGATCCTCCTCGTGTGGCAACCCCCCAAATAAAACACAAAAATGGTGGTAAAAAAACTATGAAGCACACAAGTGATTTCAGGGATGTTGCGACATTAGATGGGGTAGAAGCCTCACATGAGTATAATGGGATAGAATGTGTTAAAACTCATGGTGGTTTTAATAAGCTTGTAGCATCCCTTGATTCAACCTATTTAGATATGGGGGATAATATACGCTACTTAGTTCCAGAGGGTTATGATAAGTTAGCATCATCCCTTAATCTCCCTGTTTCTTCTGATATACGTGTCGAGGAACACTTCTTGAAGGGCATGCTAGATTTACGCACCCTAGCAGCAATGCTTGGTACTGACCAAAAGTTTGAGGCTTCCAATCGTGGTGGATTATCTGAACCCCTGCCACAATTTGAATCTCTCAAGGAAAGGGTAAAGGTGCAGAAATTTTCTCTGCAAGTTACCGAGGACCCCTTTGCAATTCCGGAAGGAGCAGCTGGGAGGATACAAAGGTCTATTATATCAGAAGCTGGCAATTTGCAGGTTCATTATGTCAAAGTCTTGGAAAAAGGAGATACGTATGAGGTTGGTATTAGCTGATATAACTGTAGTTGCACTTTTTTATATTCATTGTATTTAGCAACCATGCGATATCATT